GTGTCACAGGGTCAGTCTGGGCCAGTCCCGACACTGAGTCTCCAGTGTTGTCCCCCTTAGGGCCCTGGGCCATTAAGGGACGGCATGTTTCCTAGTGGGATCAGCCATAGTGTCCACTCTGCATTGGCTGTTCGGAGCTGGGATATTGTCCTCCAGGCCTGGCGGGCCAGGATGTACTCCACTCTCTCTTCCTCCCCTTCATTTGCTCCCATTTTCTCTGATCAGACATGCCTCTCTCCCCTGGCTACAGCTTCTGTGCAGTCCTCTAAAGTAAATTCTTATTGGGGGAAGGGCAGTTGTCCACGTAGCTGGTATGGAGGCCGAGCCCTCTGGCCCCTCCACTGGCTCCCCACTCCTTATGGGCACGCTGCATTCATCTGGAACTCGCTTTAAATCTGTTCCCTCTTTCCCCATGGAGACACAAACAATACCTTCCCCTTGGGTGGTTTAGTGCCCTATTCCCCCATTACACTTTTTTTTTCTTTCCCCTTTCCTCCCTCCCCCGCCTTTTTAGTTGGCTCCATATGTACCCTTGCATTTGGTCTGGCCCCTGCCATGCTACCTGGACCTCCCCCCTGGACTGTGTGTGTACAGTAGCTTTTCCCTGTGCCCCTTTGCATTTACCTCAGATGCTTTTCTTTCTGATAGTCAAGCACTGTCTGCTGTTTTATCCACTTTGCTATAGCACTCATATCTTCATTGATCTTTCCATGAGGGCATGCATGGAGTATGGCCATGTCACAAGAACTAATTGTTCTTAGATTAGAGCTAGAATTAAGTACAAACTCGACATCCATTCATGTATCTATGGTTCTATCTGTCTCTGGTTCACTTCAGAGGCACCATTATCATTTTCTGATAGAGAATATTATAAATCATCCCTGTGAGGCATAAGGTAATTCTATTGATAGAGTCATAAATAGAATGGTATAGAATTTAAAACACTGTTGATAAAAGGAATATAAGTGTAGGCTGACTTTGGGCTGCAATATTTTAATTGTTGACTTATACAGATTAAACTCTTAAAGTAAGTGGACATTATTTACACATACCATGGGGGTTGATGATAGGCCAGAACTTTCAGGTACACTCATTCTCTGAGGGAGAACCATACCTACCAGTTTAATACATGTCATATGAAAGCAAACTCACTGTCTTAAGTCAGTGCTCACTCATAGCAACCCCCTGTTGGTTTCTGAGACTGTAAGTCAGGGGTTCTCAACCTGTGGGTCGCAACCACTTTGGGGGTCGAACGACCTTTTCACAGGGGTCACCTGATTCATAACAGTAGCAAAATTAAAGTTATGAAGTAGCAAGGAAAATAATTTTATGGTTGGGGATCACCAGAGTCGTGGCATTAGGAAGAATGAGAACCACTGCTATAAGTGTTCACAGTAGAAAGCTTAGTCTTTTTCCTGTGGAGCTGCTGGTGGTTTCGAAGTGCCAACTATGCGGATCGCAGCCTAATTGCTCCTTAAGAAAGCAAAGGGGTCATTTAAAAAGCTAGTAAATATATGTTAGTCTTGGACCACTTTACATCACTCTGACTCATGGTGGCTCCTCTGCTTTGTCTCATGGTCTTGGTGCTGTGGCCTTTGGTGCCCTTGCTGCCTCTGCCATTTCAGGCAGGGCTCTTGCATGCACTTCACTGGTGGCTCTTCTTTGTTGATGACTATGGGTTTCTTCGGTTTACTGTTTCTGAACTGGCTTTCTTTTATACCCTGTGGAATGGCAAATTTGACCAATCCATGAGTTAGTTTTGGAGTCCGCTATACTGTATTTATGTGATTCAACCCAGTCATATGGTGGGAGTTACAAAGACTATGAATTGAAAGAGCAGCCCTACTAAGTCATCCACACCACTGTGTTTACCAATTGTATGGTTTTGGCGAAGTGTCTGTTTAAATCCTTATTATTTTTTTCCAGATATTTTAACTATTTAAAAATTTATGTTGTTTACTTATTTTTGGTTTTGTGCACTCTTCATGTGTTCAAGATATTGAGTCTTTATCAGATATGTGATTCCCAAATATTTCTCTCTGTGGCTTATCTCTAATCTCTTAGCAATGTTTTAAAAAGCGGAAGTTTTTAATTTTGATGACTCTAATTCACTGTAATTTTTTTCTTTTTACAAATTATATTTTGGGTGTCATATCTGAGAAAAATTTGCCAAAGTCATTGTCATAAAAATTTAATATAGTATTTTGAAAGAGGCCTAATTACAACTTAAAGTATTAAAAAGTTTTTATTTTCATTGTACCCATCCAGACAGCAATTGGAACTTGTTGACATATGATGCCTTTAGGTTCTGTTAGTATTTTTAATAGAAGTCATTCCTGCTCCTTTAATACATTAATTTTATCAATTATTATGTACTTCTATTATCATCTTTTCCCTTTTAGTACCAGCTCATCAAAAAAAGAGGGAAAACACACTGTTTGATATTCACAGATCTCCAGCAAGAAGAAGCCATATTAGGTAATTTTTGTTTTTGTAAGGGGAAAAGATGCATGCTTTAAATTATGAATATTCTTTACTTACAGTGCTTTATAATTAGAATATATGTAGTGATGATATTAATGATAATGAAATATAATAATAATAGCATAGTTTTTTTTCCCCTCTTCATTAATCATTATCTTTAAGGATATATATATAAAACCTCCACTATTCACACTACCTCATTGGAAGAATAAAATTCCACTTTGCAGTTCTCTGCTACCATTGTTCCTACAGCAGCTGTGCTTGTAGCCCTTATTTCTCTGACTCTAACCATTAGGAGATGTGTTTGAGTCTCACAAGAAAAAAAGGACACTGCCCTTTAGATTTCCAAGTCTGCCCAAGACCTGCCACCTGCCACAAACTTGATAGTTCCCACAATATCCTCACTTCTGACCTGCTGGCTCCCACTACTCCCATGTGTTTTCTTTCTTATTTTAAAAATAGTTTTATTGGCATGTAATTCAACATTGTACAATTTAATAGTTCAATCACATTTAGAAGAGTTGTATAATCATCTCCACAATCAATTTCAGAACATATTCTTCCTTTCGCTTACTCATTGGTTTTAGCTTTCCATTTCCTCCCTGTGTGTGCATTTTTTATTAATAGATCAGTTCACTAGCTTGTGAATTTTTAGACACAGAATTTGTGGAAAGCACTGTAATTATGATTCTAGTTTTATTACCTGTCTAATCTTTGAAGTTATTGTCAATTTGATGCCATGTCCCAAGCTACTCTCCTTGAATCGATTTTTTTTTTGTTTTAATCATTTTATTGGGAGCTCCTACAGGTAACATTCCATAGTTCAATCACATCATGCAGTATTGTACCATTGACTACCATAATCAGTTTTAATGCATTTTCTTTCCTTTTGAACTGGATATCAGTTTCCCTTTATCCCCTTTATTCCCGTCCCCAACATCCCCCCTGGACCCTTATTCTTTTTCTTTTAAAAATATTTTTTACCATATCTTACACAATTCAATATATCCATTCACATACAAATTCTGTTGTTCGATCTCATTGAGTGGGGTTATATAGTCATCAATGTTATAAGCTCCCCATTCCCCCACTCCACTACCTCTCTCTTCTTGTATCCTCAGGGAACCATTATTCCTGTTACTGTTTCTGAAGGATTATGTATCTTAACTTTCATATACTGAATGATATATATTTTTTCTTTTTTAAATCATTTTATTGGGGGCTTGTACAAGTCATCACAATCCATACAAACATCCATTGTGTCAAGCACATTTGTTCATTTGTTGCCATCATCATTCACAAAACATTTTCTTTCTATTTGAGTCCTTGGTATCAGAATCGATTTTGACCCACAGTGATTTTATAGGACAGAACTACCCCTTTGGTTTTTTGAGGCTGCAAATCATTAATGGGAACAGAAAGCCTTGGCTGATGGGTTTGAATTAGCTGAACTTGCAGTTAATAGCCCAACACAACACATAACCCATTATGCCACCAGGAGTCCTTGACTTCACACAGTTTTTAAAAGAGGACAGTTCTCCAGACAGACCCTTTTTTACTAGCTAAGCTATTGTTCTCTTTCAAGAGGACTTCGGGAGCTAATTTTAGTTATGGATATATTGAAAATTACTAATTCAATCTCTAATAACTAATTCGATCTACATCTTATAAGTAGTTTTAGATGGTCAGTTTCTCCTTGAGTGGATTTTGAATTTTTGTGTCTTTCTTAGAAAATGCCCATTTCAGTCTATTTTATATAATTTCTAAGGTGGAACAGTTTATACTGTTCTTTGTGTTGTGTGGAGCTGCCATAAAAAGTCGCACAAAGCAAGTAGCTGTAAGTAAAATAAATTTATTATCTCAGATCTGGAATCTAATTTCAAGGTTTCAGCGGGACCATGCTCATCCTGTGAAAGGGCGAAGGGAAGATGCTTTGTTTTTCTCTCAATTTCTGGAAGCTCCAGGAGTCCCTTATCTTGCAGCTGTAGCGTAGCTCTGTCATCCCATTTTCTCTGCGTCTTTTCTCCTGCCGATAGGACACCAGTGATACTTGATTAAGACCTCACTATTCTGGTAGGACATTATGTTAATTTAATAGACACTATCTTCAAAGTAGGACATTATGTTAATTTAATAGACACTATCTTCAAAGACCCTATTCTAAACAAAGTTAATTCACAGATAACAGAAATTACGCCTTCAGCATACATTTTCTGGGGACACAATTGAATCCATGACATCATCTTAAGACTTTTCATATCTGAAAATCTGGTAGTCTTATACCTGGCTTCATTTCTGATACTACTAATTTGAAAATGCCTCCTTTTGTTTGTCAATTTTTTTTGATCTGTTCAAAGAACCATGTTTACTTTAGATAATCTTCTGTATTTCATTTATTTGGGTGACAGTCTTTATTTTATCTCTTTCTGCTTTAATATTTAGTTTTCTTTTTCTATTATGTTTTTTTCTTTTTCTTTCTTTCTTTTTTTAATCAATTTATTGGGGCCCATACAATTCATCACAATACATAGATCAATTGTGTAAAGCACAT